AGCAAAATTGGTTTCATGGTGGTTTAATTCTGCTGCTAGAAATAAGAGGTTCCTCTTTCCAGTGGGCAAAAGGCAGCAGGAACAAATTCATTCTCAGAAGAAATAGGTGTTTCCTTTTTGCATGAATCCGAGGTGAGGGAGCAAATGTGTAGGGAAAGAACTAACTTCCCTGATTTTTTTGCATGAATCTGAGGTGAGGCAGTAAATGTGTAGGGAAAGAACTAACTTCCCTGATGGGAAGGACATCTTTATTCATTCTCTTTATGCTTTGGAGTTTTGGAAGCTCCACCATGTAAGTAGTAATCTGAGGCTTTGAGATGGAGCAGTATTGGGAGCCCTTCTTGCTGAGACCATATGAGGTCACTGGGCAGAATCATGCTGATTTTAGTAACGTCGGTGATGCAATAGCTAACCCAGAAACTAGCAGACTCCAGACTTACTGCCTGTGGGCAAAGAGCTGGCTGAATTAATTTTGGCTTCTTCTCATTTCCAGCTGCACCCCTGAGTTAAAGAACCTAAAATAGATCACTTCCCTAGAGCCGCGTGTGAGTGGTCGTGGGGGATGGAGTTACACGTAAGGTAAACACCGTCTTCAGAAACAGTGTGTGTTGTGACAAAGTATGAAAAGCTGTGAAAGGTGGGAAGGCCCGCGGCCAGACATGTTCCTGGGAGTATCCCAGGGGTTGTTTCTGGTTTTTACCCTGAGGTTCAGCCAGAGCAGGCAGCGTGAGCCTGTGGCTGTGACACTGAGCAGAGGACTCCGCAGCTCTCAGCAGCACTTTTGCTCGTTTCCCAGCAGACTTTCAGCAAGATATTTAATCCCTTTCTGTTCCTCATCTTCCCACCTGTAACAGAGGGATAAAGCTTCCTTTCTCTCCGGGCTCCCGGGAGTCTGTTTCGATTGCAAGTTCTTTGAGGAGGAGAAAACACCTGGCACAGTAAGGCCCCTTTCTCCAATAGATGCCATTGTAATACCTGTAATTGGAAGCGCTGTTCACCTGCCGAGCAGATCTCTCCCAGCTTCAGAGTTTCCGGCCTGTGACCCCTCTCAGGACTGGTTTCTAACAGATGTGCAGACAAGTTTCCCTATCTTCCAGGAGTTTTAGAGAGTCTAAAATTTTCACCTCTATAAAAATTCTGGTTTTATTTCAATTTTTTAATTTTGCTTTCTGTCTGTTTACATTCCTTAAGTTTTCAGTTGAACAAGCATTACAATTAAAAAAAAAAAAGAAAATTTGATTTTTTATTGAAATACTACTTTTCAAAAACCATCTCATTTTATTTTGCTCTTGGATATATTTCAAGCTAGGAGCTGATCCAAATATGACCTTTCCCCATGGACAGTTTCAACAAATCAGTATTTCTCCAGTGAAAAATATCTATCGTTGGAAAATCCTAACCGGCAATTTTTGACTGCTGTAGGGAGGACTTTGCAGGCAGAGACCTGCCTTCTAAAAGCTGGTTGCTGAATTTGCAATTAGCAGCAATACAGCTCTTTTGATGGCTTCTTCTATATCAGCGTAAGCTCTGAACTGCCACTCATATACAAGCAACTTCCTTTCAAGTCCTGCCATTTCTCACTTTGATATTTCCCCACAAAGCTGGCTATTTAACTATTAAAAAGTCAGTCACTGCGACTGGTTAACTATAGGGCTGCTTAATAGGGATTTTTGTTTGGGTTTCTGTTGTAGCTGAGGAGGATATATGATCTCTTTTGAAATGAGCTATTAACATGATAAAACATCTTGGGAACATACAATACTAAAGCTGATGGTTTAATCTTTGCTGGGGTATCTGAATGCTGCATTAAATAAAGGGGACTGCACTAACGAGTGTTGGAGCTTTGTAGTGGTATGGCACTAGAACACAGAGCTGAAGCACAGTTACCAGATTTTTCTGTAACTGTTTCCTGAAATATGCTTTGCATTTAGTGTTCGGAATCAAACACAGGGATACTATAAAAATCCTATGTTTTCCATACCTCAGAGATGGGAAATTTCAGAAAGGCTGGTGTTGCTAAGAGAGATTTTTCCTTTATTTATCTCCCTATAAATATACGTGTGTGTGCATGTGTGTGTACATGTATATATATTCCCAAATATATACATATATATACACATACACATGTGTATGTGACTGTTTCCACCCGCTGGCTCAGTTCTGTGGTTCTGCTGGTACGGCCACACCGGTATGAGGTTGTCTGTGCCCATCGCTTCCCCCAGGCCACGGCTCTTACCTGGGCCTATTAGCTGGGTTTAGCACCTTCCAAGTTCTTGTGGGCTATGGAGGAATTCTGGTTGGCAACCAATTTTTACAAAAAGCTGCTTCATTTCTAGGATTTTCTGTTTCCTTCCGTCTTCCACCCAGTTTTACATCAAAGATGGGAATTTAACCCTGGCTAATGTACATGCAGCGTACAATTGAGGGACTTGACGCTGAAGCTTAACAAATACTGGCCTTGCAAAATGCATAGATATTTAGCAAGGGTGCTCATATGTGTCTAAAACAACTTCTTTAGGGATGTAGTGAATTCCGTTACATCTTCAGCCAGGATGTCTTGCTGACAGAAAGCAGAAGCGGAGGGTTTCCTTCTGGAACCACAGGCCAAAATTTCTCTCTGGGTCATTCAAGAGATCAGGATGAAAGGTTTCCCATCACAATCTGCTCTGAAGCTTTGTGGTTATGTGTAAGAGAGGGGCTGAAGCCTAGAAAAGTGAAAATACATGCCATCTCCACCCTTCATCTCTCAACCTCCCTTTGTTTTATGTATCAGTGTTCCCCAACCTTACAGTTTGAAAGGAGGCATTCACAAGATCACTGTCCACAATCATCAAGGAGAAGAGACAGTCCGTATTGTCAATTAATTCCTGACCTTGGCTTAATAACATTTATAAGTCATTAATACAATTATTTGTAATGGCAATTGTAACGTAACTGTTAAGAGTTTAGCAAGTCTATCATGTTCAAAGACTGTATTTAATTGTGGCCTGTAGCTACATGTAGTGTGTCCTGCCACTGTGGCTAGAACCTCTTACGATACCTTCTTCTTAGGTCTGTGACATGCTTTTAACATAGCTTAACTGGTTTTGAATCATTCCTTTTAATCATTCCTATGTGTAGTCTTAACGTGAAGAATCATCACCTTTAGATCCCAGAGAGTTAAACCAGATGCAAAGGTGCTGTAAGAATGAGGAAAAAAAGCATCCTCTTAAAACAAGCATTTTGGGGAGAAGCTTTTTCAGTTTAAATGGTTTATTGCCCAGATTAGTGTTCTTTCTGTGACACCTGTGGACGGTTAATTGATTTACTTTTTGATTTTAGTCCTCTCCAGGGAAGACAGGGTTTTGAGAATCTGGGAGTTGTAGTGCGGAACAATTGATTTCTCAGTAAGCTTTGAAATCTCTGGCTTGTCAGTTCTTCTTGCCTGAGTATACCTATCTGTGAAACAGTATTTGATGTCCTTATGGCTAATTGGTGCTTAAGTGCTTTCAGACCTGTGGGTAAGCCACTAATTAGTCACAGTCATTTAGTCAAAATTACTAAAGTCTGATATTTTCCCATATGCTCTATTAGTTCGGGGAAAAATGTCTTGAAAATTCATTGATTTAGGCTTCCCTGGTGTATTTGCTGTTGTTTGTTTGTTTGACAATGACTTTCTGTGTTGTGGTTGATACAGATGTTGCTGAATTACTCCGTCTGCTTCTAGTTTTTGTGAGTGTTCTTCTGGTTTAAATAGTGCAAAATCCTCTTTCCAGAAAGAAATGTAGAAATAAAACAGGATGCAGATACTGCTGCGATAACTATTTTGTTTCAGTATGTTCTACATCATCACTCTTGGTATTGGGATTTATCTCGTCTGCACCCTCTGCCGTACAGATCTAATTTATATAGACATACCAACATGCATGTACACAAAACACACATGCACCCACAGTCTCTTACATTACATTGTGAAAGAACCATAAGGTTGAAGTGTGTTGACTCAACTATTTAATGAGGTGCAATAAATCTTGACAAGACCAGCTGGCACTAGAGTCAGGCTTCTCATCTTTTTACCATTACATTGAAATGTGAACAATAGTGGAAAGAAATGTAGCTCTTCTTTTTCTTTTCTTTTTTTTTTTTTTTTGGTACTCAAATCTGTAGCACTGTATTGAAATCATCCACTTTCATGGAATGCAAAGCACGGTGGATGCTGTGGAAAATGTTAACGATGTAAAGGCCCCTTTTCCTGGTTCTTTTTTCTCAAATTCTGAAAACGTTATTGATCTGACAGATCACGCAAGTGTGGTCAGCATTAATATCCCTGCAACACACTTGGGCTGAGCAGAGCAGCAACGTTGAGTAACGATACACAGAATGTGTTTCAAGGCTGGTAGCGAGATGTGCTGTTCCTCTTGCTGCTCTTGCCCTCACATCTCACTTTTCACCTTCTCTAGCACACTGGTCTCTAGCAGTTACTTCTCACCACCAAACCTTTATTGACTTTGCCCCTGCCTGTCACCAAGCTTCTCCTCTGCTGCTTGGCACACCATAAAATCCTTTCCTCTTTCTCATTCCACCTTAAGATCTTCTTCTCCCAGGGGGCATTGCTGGCTGATTACAGCTACCACCAGGTCCAGCAGGGCTGACTGTGTTACTTGAGTATCTTTTCAAAAAATAGAAGTAATTAAGCAGTTTGGACATCTAAGCCTGTGGCATGGTTCCAAAGCATCTTTTTTTAATGGACCTGTTTTATTGTTGTGAAAAGAAATCTGTTTAAATAATACACTTCTTTTTTTGGGTAGGTTTTGTTCCTGACAGTGGTATCCATCAATCTCTTTTATGTTTCTAACCCCACCACTTAATACCAATCTATCCTTAAAAAATAATTGCTCCCAAGCCAACTAGATGCCTCTGGATTCACTTGAGAAAGACTGCCTGAGCTTTGCAGTGTATCCCATAATGATAGATGACATCTCCAAAAGTAATAACTGCACCTCATTGCTTTGTGATTACAGCATTTGATGTGTGCTGGGCTCTGGTGCCTGGTGGAAGGAGATACATCCTGTAAAACAAAGTTGGACCCCCCTCTGGATGGCACTGAATGTGGCGCAGACAAGGTAATCAAAATGCTCAGTAGCAATCACTTTGTTTTTTCCAACATTGTCTGTGGAATAATGTTTCCAAGATGTTCAGTATTTACCATAAACCCATATTTCATACTGATTCTGTTACAGATACTGCTCAATTAACAGCTGGATTGGGTTAAGTCTTTCTGATTTTATGTTACGTGTAGTTCAGTAGCCTCTGGAGACCTCAGTAGTCAAGTTCTTGTGGTCAAAGGCTGCAGGAAAACCCCATGCTTTGCTCTGCACAGCCCGAGTCCCCTGGGAGTCATGTTAGATAGAGCTCACTCCTGTCGCTTCTGTTCGTTGCTGCCAGTGGTGTTTCATAAGTGAGGTGTTTTTCAGTGTAAACTAAGGTGGTAGTTACCTTGGCTATATTTGAAGTAGAAAGCATGGAGAGCATTTGGGCTGACATTTGGGGAGTGAAGAAAGATGGGGAAAGAAAAAGAGGCTACTTTAAAACTTGCTCAGAATGTGTTGAGCTCAAATTCAGTGATGTTCAGTTATTTTTAAAGTCTCATTTGCTGTACTGTATCTATATACTTAGATGATTAAGACATATATGTGCTTTCCAGAGTCCAAATTGATGTAGAAAATTGTTACAAGAAACAGAAAACGTACTCTCAGATTAGTGGATCTCCCTCCAGTGAAAATCACCATTCCAGTGGGAGTTACTGGGGCTCAGCTGCTGCCTCCCAGCTGCCCTGCTGTGCTGACAGAAGGTGTCTTTAGTGAACGTGTTTAACCTCTGATGGACTGTGATAGATGGGGATGTGGTTTGTAAATGTACGTGGGTCCTAAGTGTGGCTGGTAACTTCCTAGGCTTTTAAGGAACTTGTCTGGTTTGGTAACTGCCAGCCCCTACTTACTGGTTTTGGATTCTAATATTTTTTGTTTGTATAGTTGGGGAGGTAAAAAAGGGTAAAATTAAAAAGTTTAGAGACCACCAAAGGTTAGAGACAACTTCTTTGCTTGCAAATAAAGATAAACCATGACAAGAAAAGCTGGGTCCTGGAAAGCATGACAAAGAAACTGAGACAAAAGATTTTTAGAAATATGTTTTCTAAGTACAGGAGTACGTAAGGCTGCTTAGCAGTGCTTACTGTATCGGATACTGGACAGAGCAGGAGAACACGCCAAGTTTGCTGCTTGGTCAGGAGCCAGTGCAACCTAATAGAATCAAAGGTTGTTTGGGGCTTTGGCCAAGTTAGGTCCAAAATACCTCAATTATTTTGTACATACTGGGAATACTGCTGATTAAGACATTGCTTTGGGCTGTAATACCTTGGACTCGATTTCTGTGAAGAGTGTGGCTTTAAGTCTTTAACTGCAGAAGTCCTGGTGATTCTTTCGTAAGGCTGCTTAGCAGTGCTTACTGTATCGGATACTGGACAGAGCAGGAGAACACGCCAAGTTTGCTGCTTGGTCAGGAGCCAGTGCAACCTAATAGAATCAAAGGTTGTTTGGGGCTTTGGCCAAGTTAGGTCCAAAATACCTCAATTATTTTGTACATACTGGGAATACTGCTGATTAAGACATTGCTTTGGGCTGTAATACCTTGGACTCGATTTCTGTGAAGAGTGTGGCTTTAAGTCTTAGCGCTTAGATAATTATCTGCTTTATAAAGCAAGAGGCTGAATTCTGTGACTGTTTTTTTTAATGACAGAACTCCCTTCAGGGGTTCATTGAGGGTGACACTTAAATTTCTGTGTCTCACCTTCTCCCTTTCTTTTCTTCCCACCTCCTTCTCGCTGAAGCCTTGAATGTCTAGAGACCTAAACTTGGGCTGGTTGTAATCACTCAGAAATTCGTTTAAGCCCACCTGTGAAAGAACGTTTGCAAGATCAGGGCTTCTTTCCAGCCTGTGCTAACACAATTGCATTTCAGTGGTGCCGAGCTGGGGAGTGTGTCAGTAAAACTCCCATCCCTGAGCACGTTGATGGAGACTGGAGCATGTGGAGCCAGTGGAGCATGTGCAGCCGGACCTGCGGCACGGGAGTGCGATTCCGGCAGCGGAAATGCGACAATCCCCCGTAAGTCTTCACATCATGCTGGTTTCTTTTCACATGTAGCACCTAGACTTGCTGCAAGAGTGCAGGGAAGAAACGGGCAGCAGAGCTGTGCGGAGGACACAAGAGTCACTGCAGTGGATGAGGAGGGGTAGATCTGGTTCTACAGACCAAACTGAGCCAATGTGTCTTAGGGCTTGGTTTTGCAGCCAGTGCTGGCTCTGGGCTTGGGAAGCAATAGAGTGGCAGACAGTGGTCATAGTGTCATAGGTGCAGGGAAGAAACGGGCAGCAGAGCTGTGCGGAGGACACAAGAGTCACTGCAGTGGATGAGGAGGGGTAGATCTGGTTCTACAGACCAAACTGAGCCAATGTGTCTTAGGGCTTGGTTTTGCAGCCAGTGCTGGCTCTGGGCTTGGGAAGCAATAGAGTGGCAGACAGTGGTCATAGTGTCATAGAGCTGTGTTGGTGAAGCACCTTGAGATATTCTGTGCATCGGGGTGGGCTCCATATGGAAAGGAAGTTTTCCCACACACACAGTGCAGTGGGTGCTGTTTAGCTCCTGCACAATGACAACAAATAAACCTGTGCTCTCTACTTCGGCTTGGATTTTTTTCTGATTCAGGAAGAGATGTAAGTGATGTTATCTCCCATGTGCCATCCTTCATCCCTCTGGTCCATTGAAGCACATCTGGAAGATTTTTCTTCATATGGGAGTCCTGAGCAGGTTCCCATGGTGGCCATTTAACTGACAACCCCTGTTTGTGTGCATTACGACTTCTGAGATGAACGAGGGTGCTCACAACCTTGAGAGCAGGCCTCCAAGTTGTGTTTCTCTAACTTTATTCATATTTTAAAGTTTTCTCAACGACAGAGCTCAGGAAACTTTTCTTTTTAAATAGGGGCTGAAATTCTGGCTAGCAACATAGTCACTTTCAAGACATGCCTTGATGATGGATAGGCACACGCTGGCGGCTGCTGAGCTGTATTCATATGAAAGGGATATTTTTGTTTATTTGTCTCCTTAAATAACGCTGAACTGCAATTGCATGTCTATAATGTCCAGGCTTGATTTTTACCAGCTCATTTTCCTGAACCAGGGACTGAGCTGGTTTCTTTGCTGTCAGCTACAAAAAAGTCTCTTTAACCACAGTGCTGACCAAACCTAAATCCATTCATCATCGTTCCTTAAATTACAGGAAATGCTCCCTCCAAGATTGCACACTGATTTTAAAATTCTCTTGCTCATATACATTCTTGGCTGGGGATACACACGTGATCTTCTTTTGCTTCAAATTCCTGGCATCAGCCCACTTCTTCTGCAGCTGGTTTATTCACTGTCCAAAAATATTGGCTAAGGGATTTATCTTTTATTTTATATATATTTGGTCTTGGGATTTTTTTTTTTAAACTGGAATTTCTACTCCTGCCAGCTGACTTTTGATCCTGTGGGACTATCAGTATTTTTAAACCAGTTGCTTCACTGTTTGATTTGGTTTTTCCTCTCTGTAATTTCTGGGAGTATTTGCATGCGTTGCCTCCAAATGGTTGTAAGGCAGCGTGTCGTGAGCCAGTTTGCACGTGCAGACTTTTGGGTTGTGCTGCCTTGTGTTCTTGTCTAGGCTTTGGATTATGAAGAGAAAACCACTGGCTTAAACAGAACATCAAAATGGGATCTCCACCCCTTCTCCAGTCCCCTCTTGTCATGTAAAAGGGTCACAGTAGTATAAACGGGCTTTGATTTCTTCAGTTCAATTAGTGGGTGGATTCTCTTGGCACAAATACAGTGCAAAGTGGCCATGAAGTTGTCTACCAGAAGATCTGGCACAGGCACCATTTCAGGCATTTGTCAGGGTGGGCTTGAATGATACTAGTTATTGGAAATCACAGGCGGTGCCAGAGCCCATATTATACAGGGCTTGGGACCTGGGAATGCAGGGATCTTTCCCTGCAGATTCTTTTGCATAATCTGATAGAGATGATGCCCAGAGTCTTGGCCTCAGTATTTGGAGAGATGGAAGGGACACAATCGTCCTTTGAAGCCTCAAAGATGAAGCAAAGCAGGAAAAGAAAGGCATATGACCAAGTGCTAGGTAACTGTTTGCGGGAGACCAGAGGGACTGACTGTTGTTTTTCTTCATCTTACATGATGAAAACCCTCAGTATCCCATTTAAACATGCCAAGAGTAATACTGAAATACTATAACAGAGGTCAGTTAAATAAAAGATTACTGTCAGTAATTCTCCATTCCCTATCCAAACAGTAAGAGCGTAATCAGCGTGGCAGAGCTGTCTTGTCCATGCCTCTGACTGCCTGTCCATGTTTGTTTATCTGCTTGTTCCTCAACCCCTTGAAACAGATGCTCTATATTCTACTAGTGTTTTACTAGATTTAGTCTAGTGGAAAGCAGTAACATATTACCAAATAAAGCCTGATGCTGTTGGACACATGAAAGCTGAGGTGAGAACATCTCTTTTGGTATATTGTGTTGAATTACTGGGAGTAAAACCACCCCTCAGATCTGTAGGATGTTCTGTTGTTTTGTGGCTGATGAGTGCATCCCACTCTTTAATTTTGGGAGACACTAGATCAGAAGGAGGCAGTTCATTTTGCTCCTTAATTAGAAAGGGAAGTCAGGTCAGGCTGCTGAAGAGCAGAGGGATGTAGGTCAAGAGCAGAGGAGTGCAGGTCAAAAGGCACTATGTTCCTCTAACTCCCACTCACTGGGAGTGGTGGGTGCTCAGGAAGTGTCTCCTAATAGATGTGGCTATTACTTTATTATTGCCAGTGACCATTATTACCAACAGTGAGAGCTGCTTGTTTCCACTCTGCGTTGGCAAACTCATAGAAAGTCCCTCACAAGTTAATGACATCTTAAGATTAAAGGTGAGACAACTGCTAATGCACACAGCAAATATTAGCCCTGCTGTGTGTCCTGTTCCATGACCATCATCTTGGTACCCTGCTCTTGAGAGAGAGCTCTGCTACTCTTTGGGTATTCTGACTGTATTCTGTTCTGTTTTGGTTTTTTCCTGTGCGTGTACACACAAAGATGCACAGAGTCACTTACCTTCAATGGCTACATCTCTTTTGCTGTAGCCAGAGAGATGGTGCTGACACCAAAGTTTGTGTATTTGGGTGCAGGGTTCACAGGGGAAGAAGCCTGCATCATACCTCTAGTCATCTGGACTGAGTGTCTGTTTCATCCAGGCTACGGCAGCAGACACGATCCTCCCAGAAGATTTCTGCCTCAGCCTCAGCACATCTGCTGCCGTGCACGTGTCCGTGGCAGGGAAAAGGTGTTAGTAATGCAGGCAGGAGTTTGGTCAGGCTGTTCTTCTAGTGACTCTCCGTGACGTTATTACAGTGTCACTAGAGACCAGCATTTCCATTTTAGAAAAAACAAAACACTTTTTCTGGGATTTATGGAGCTACTGTAAAAAATCTGATCAAGGCTGAAATTTGGCATGAGGCTCTTCTATGCAGAATCAACTGTTTCTGTTGCACCGAATGCTGAATTCATCAAGTCCAGCACAGCTAAGAAATCAAAGAGCCAGCCCTATCGCCAGCGTGCAAATGACCAGGGCAACTCTTGCTAGGACTGCTGACACAACTAGATGATATACAATGAGGGCCTTGCTTTCTAATTAGCTGAGTGATACAACCTGATGTTCATTGCTCTTCTGGGAGGGAGGGGGAAAGAGGCTTTTGGAATGAAATGCCATAGTGCTAGAAACTGGAATTTGGCTAGAGTTGCTTTTTATGGCCATCTGTTAAAGAAAAGTAAGAACATATCCATCCATCTTTGCTGATTACAGCTGTGGAGATAGGTATGTGACAAATTCAGAAAAGTATCAGCAAGTAGCTAAAGAAATTATCTGTTAGGATGGCTAAGCCTTTTGCTTACTTGTTTTTTTTTGTTTGTGTTTTGTTTTGCAAAGAAAATACAGGCTATTGTTCAGAGTTTGAGCTTTCCTTCCTAGAATGGCTAAGCCTTTTGCTTACTTGGTTTTTTTGTTTGTGTTTAGTTTTGCAAAGAAAATATAGGCTATTGTTCAGAGTTTGAGCTTTCCTTCTTCTCTGGGGAATCATAAATAAGAATAAATAGGTTTTGCAGGTGCTTAATCCTGGTGTTGGATTAGTGGCCTTTCCTGCACATTTAAAAACCAAATGTGTAAAATGGCATGTTTTTCATGGATGCAGATTATCAGCTGCACTGATTTGTTTCTGGACACCCTACTTCTAGTACAGGTTGTAGCTAATTCTATGCCATTTTAGTTTCAAACTCCTGAAAGCAGAACCTTAGAGGATGTGTGCTGAAGAGACGTTTGCTGTGTCCCCATTAAGGGTGTTTGAGGTAGAGGACAAAGCATAATGGTAGAAAGAGAAAAGTGAAACATTCCAGGTTGCCTGCCTCTGCTTTGGGTGTTTGGTGTGATCCTGGGCACAGTGATGTCACCACGGTGCCTCTAGGTTCCCCATTAAGACTATAAATACTTAACTTTGGTATCCATGATGGAACTACAAATTATCTTCTGAACTGCCTGACTGTGCAAATATAGGTTATACTTAGACCTCAGGTGTCACTCTTAGTGCACCTTCCAGAGCCCAACTCTCACAAGTCACCATCAGTAAACAAACTTGTCCCAATTCACAGGAAAAGTTAATCAGAGCTCAGGCCTGATGTCACGGCAGAACCCAAAGTTTGGGACTGCTTTACTTCAAGTCCTGGTCTGAAACTGTTGGTGGACACAGACATTCTCCCCACTCTTTCTCAGTCATTTGCCCGCTCCATCTGAAAATAAGTTAGGACAGGAATGAATTGCTGTTGAAGTCAATGAAGAAATCTAGGTCAGCAGTGTAAAATTAGTCACTTCCCTTGGTTTGTGACCAGAATACAAACAGTTAAACACTCTGTATCTTCTAAGAAGGCTGCTTATTGCCCACAGGTGAATAGCATTATCACTGATCTGAGGTGTGCACTGTGTAGGCAGCCCCTATTTATTGATCTGTGTGTGGGATACAACAAAAGAACATGCTTCTGAAGTACTCCAGAGCAACTGTTATGATAAGCCAATAGCTTGAATAATTTTCAATTATTGCTACCGACAGCAGGGCTGGACCTCCAGCAAGCAACATCTGAGAGGAAGGATCCTTCCTGCTATTTAAACAGTTGCCTTGGACAGGGAAGCTTAGGTGAAGGTGTGCCTGTGAGTAGCTGTGTTCCTCCTGCTCACCCTGGTTTGTCTTTCCTGTGATAGCCCGGGACCAGGCGGGAAGAATTGCCGGGGAGCCAGCGTGGAGCACACTGTGTGTGAGAACTTACCCTGCCCTAAAGGTGTGCCAAGCTTCAGGGACCAACAGTGCCAGGCCCACGACAGATACACCAACAAGAAAAAAAGCCTCCTGACAGCTGTCATCATTGATGGTAAGTTTTTTCATCTTCCTCTGCACGACCTTGCTGTTCTTTCACTGCACCTTCTCAACCTGTCTTGACTTCATCTGCTGGAGTCCCATTTGTTGGTGAGAAGACTACAGTATATTTGCCTTAGCTACATCTGAAACACTAATTACAATTAGTTGTTCTTGGTGCTGCCCTGCTGTTCTTTTAGCCTTCTTAACAGAAAATACAGAGCTATCAGTTCTTTACTCTTTTTTTTTTATAGATTGGGAAGGTGTTCCTTCTCTAGCTAAACACAATAGTACCTTTTCCAAAGCCTTTACACCTTTTTCCAAAGGTTTAAATATATAATATAACAATTTCCATTAGCATGGATGAAAAATGCAACTTTTCTCTACAGATTTATGTCAAATTAGTTTGGGGGTTCTTTCTCTAGATATTCTAGCAGCATGGTTTGCTGACAGAAATGTTTGTAAGTACCATAAATATTAGTTTAAGGAAATAGTAGGTAATATGTATGCAAGAATGCTTTAAATCTATGTATACAACTGTTCTTACTGGCAAACTGATGTAAGTCAGTCCATCAAGAGCAGAAATGGACTGGAGAACTTGTTCTTCTTTAATCACTGACTGCAGCCTGAATTTCGTCTGAGACACTCCCACAGTGACTTGGCCTTTCACGTCAGGCTGCTGAGCATTCCCTGTAACACATGTTCCGGTCACAAACAGATACATAGAAATGCACTGACTTAATGGTTTTCTGTGTCTCAAAAGACTAATCTCATCAAGGTAACCCATTGAATATTGAGCATAGAAATGTACTGCCTTAATGGTTTTCTGTGTCTCAAAAGACCAATCTCATCAAGGTAACCCATTGAATATTGAAATTGTAAAGTGAGGAAATGACAGGCCTAAATTGAAAGGATCATGCTCCTTCAGTGATGAGAATATCAACCTTTCCAAATCTGTGAAATTGTAAAGTGGGGAAATGACAGGCCTAAATTGAAAGGATCATGCTCCTTCAGTGATGAGAATATCAACCTTTCCAAATCTGTCCGTGAAGAGACTGCATCTCCATTGCCTCAAAACCTCCTGTTTGTGCTGTTTCTAAAGGCAGTTGCTTCTGTATTTCTCTTTCCAGATAAGCCATGTGAGCTCTTCTGCTCTCCACTGGGGAAGGATTCCCCTGTGTTGGTGACAGACAGAGTCCTCGATGGTACTCCGTGTGGGCCTTACGAGACCGACCTCTGTGTACACGGCAAGTGCCAGGTGGAGTAACGTTCTCTTGTTCTATTTCTAGTGTTAAGTGTCATCTGGGGGGGCTGTGTAGATCCTAGAAGAACAGGGTGGCTGGGGGCTGGCTCTGAGGTGAGAGGGCAACCCTATTTTATACGACCCATTGCAAGAGCTCCACAACCCCGTGTCTTGATCTGAGAATTATGATAAATGCCCAGGGTATGAGCTTATTACTGAACACCTGGGAATGTTCAATGATCGCATTTGCTTGCGTGTAGTCATCAAGTGGCTTGGGTGGGAAGGACTTCTGTGAGGGGAGAAGATGGGATTGGAAATCTGGTTTGCTTAACTGCTTCATTTCGGCTATTAGAGGAATCACTGAAAAACCACTGATCCTGCAAACTGGGATTAGAAATTGTCACTACCTTGTTACAAGTGCTACGTTGCCAGCATCACGATGCTTTTCAGTTCCACCTGATTCTTGTCTAAGAATATTGAGGATGCTTTTTAATACCAGTTGCTCCTTGGCTCCTGCAACTGTATGAGCCCGTAGCTTCCCCTGTGTGATTTTTATTAACTGTGTTACTAGATAATGCCAAGGTGAATTAGTGTAGGAGCACATCAAAACTGTTTTGTTTTTCCCTTGGAGTAAGAGAAAGGTTCCCTTCTTCCCACAAACTAGGTTTTAAAGCTCCATGCAATAGAAAGTCCAGGTTTAAAGGAGCAGATCCTGCAGCCCAGAGCACAGCCCAGGGCAGTTTTCTTTTGTCTCTCATCTGCATTGTCTTGCTTGGGTCACGTAAAGAGCAAACCAAAGAGAATGTAGGGTAGGGTAGGCTTCCTTCTGCTGTCCTGCAAGGGGACAATCAGTGTCCCCTTGGTTGTCCCTGACTGGACTGGCCAAACCCTGAACGTGTTTGTTTCCTTCTGTCTCTGGTCAGACAAGTCAAGAATGGAAATGAAGAGGACTCTGTTCAAGAGTCTTCGGATATGATTCCCTTTTCCTGGAGTGAAGGTGTGGTGGCCTATAACCACTGCAATGATGATTGTTTCTCTCTAGCCAAATTACATATAGAACCAAAATTAGGTGTGGGTGATCTTTGTAATGGTTTGGTGGGCCATGAAACAGTTCATAAAGCAGCTTGTTGAATGCTTAGGGAGGGCCTCTGTCAGAGCTGATATTTCAGATTCCTTGAAAGTTTAGTGGAGTTGTATAGACCCATACTAACTGGAGATTTAAGGTTTGGACAAGGGAAAGGAGAGAAGAGAATGTTTATTTAAAGATCATAAATTACAGGAAGTCATTTGGAATGGCTGCTTCTAGCAATGTTGGAGCAAGTTGGAATCAAGCAGTTGGAATGGAGTCATTTGTCATGGACAGTACGACAGGGCAAAGGCATAGTGGGTTTTCTCCTAATCAAGTAGCGTGTGCTCGAAGTTTGCTGCACACACGTTAGTGATGGGAAAGACAGTTGAGTTGGCTACTGCAACCTTGCCAGCGCTGGATTCTTCCTGGCTGTTCTTCCTCTAAGTTTATCCTCATCTAGATTTGTATCCTATGCCAGGAGTGCCTCTTCTCAGGATTAACCAGCCTGTTGTATCCACCAGAACAGCTTTCTAGCATCACCCTTTACATCCACTAACTTCACTGGAGATATGCTGGTTTGTCCTGGGGGCACAAGGCGCATGAAATTTGGCATTATTTCTGATTAGTGTGAACAGTGATTAAGAGCTACCAATTTTGATTGTTTTGAGCCTTCCAGGCAGGGAGACAGATGAACACAATATTCACCTGGGTATAAGAGAGCCTTTGGGGGCATAAAGCAGATTTACTAGTAGCAATGCGACGAGATAAGTGAAAAATCTTTGCCTGGATTGAATTTTGCACTGCTGCAGGAGACAGCTCCCACTGTTCCCTGCCAAATGCTGCTGAAGAGGCAAGTTTAATTCAGTCCTTCTAATTTGTTCAAATGAAGAATCTGAACAGCAAGTTGCTGGGGAACCAGCAAGGGTTTGATTCTTTATATGCTCTTTAATACAATGTCCTTTGCATAGAGTCAGGTTCGTGGTGCATCCCAAGTTACTTAATTTTCCCCTGTTTTCAGCTGTATCTGAAAAAACTAAAAAATCTATTAATAACCTTTTATAGTTAGGCCAGCTGTGCACCTCCATCTGTGTGCCATTGACCATTACTCTGGGCCAGCCGGCTTTACTGCTCCAAACATTCAGATCAGCCACAAATGGTAAATCAGACATTATGGCAATGTATGATTTCTTCTTCCAGTGAGGAGCAGTAGCCAGCTCCCCTCCAAATGAAAACCTTTATGAGCACAGAGCTTTGGAGGTACATCATGAAAAGCAAATTGTGCTCTAAGTCGGGGGCAAGTGCCTTTAACTGTGCAGAGAGGTGATGACAGCTGCAGAACATTCAGTCCATTTGCATCTGGCTGAGAGAAAATGCAAAATGATCAATTCAAGCCGAGCAGATTTGAAAGCCTCGTGAACTCATTTATAACACTCTTCTGCCTTATATGCAGTTTAGCGCTGAGAATTGCCATATGTGACTGTGTACCCCATTTGCCACAGATACTTGTCTAAATGGCTGCCTATTAAACCAATTTAATCAGCATATTCATTTAATTACCCTTCTACTCATTTCTTTACCCAGTGTAGACAAAGCCTGGCAACAAGCATTGCAGGGGGCCTGGAGAAAAGAATAAGTGCTGAAATCAAAGGGTGGTATTACTGTTATTTATTTTCTTGTGTAATCCTTCTAGTTGAAGGCTCTCAAATGCAGGAATGACACATTGACAGTGTAACAGACAAATTAGCAGTAACCGTTGCCTGTGAACATCTAGTCCAGGAAATGTAATAGCTCTGTTCCCTTCGGCAGTAGATGCTCCTAAATGAAACATGCATCCTTGTTGCATGATGAATGAACGTAGATGAACGTGACAAAGAAAAAAAAAAAACTGTTCTTGCAAGGAGAGGGGGGTTTTGAGAAGATAAGCAGGAACAGATTCTTTGAAGCCTCAAAATACCCTAACTGCATTTGAGCACTGAGGGGAAGAGTCTTTCTTCAGTTGTACTTTCTGAACTTATTATTTCATTTTTTAAAGCCATGAGCTGAGCTCCAATCTAACCAGTGTGTGTGAAGCCTTTTGATGTCAGCCTCACTATCCTTGAAACAAAATCACCATAAGCAGTGGCATCCCTGTATTTATCACTTACACCTGAAAGCACCTGGCATGAGTAAATTTGGTTAAAACTTTGGTCATGCACAGAAGTACCAGAGGGCAAAGTCAGCCCTAAATTTAGCTTAGGGGGTTTATGCTAAATAAAACTTTCAATAATCTTACTTCTTGTCTTTGAGAGTAATCATAAGGTCTTAATTCAATTTTGTCCTGCCCTTGTTTATTAGAGTTGTTTTTGAGGTTGAACATTTCATTCTTGATAGTGATAGAAGTTTGCCAGAATGAGGACAAAATAAAAGCTACATAACAGCTTCATTAGTTGGTGTCAAATATGGAACAGGGTGTTATAAAGTTATGCCTTTAGAAGAAACATTGTGGAGTAATAACAAATGTGCTTATCCTTACCATCTTCTGAGCAAACTAGATGCCTTATTCACTGTGTGTGTAGGTCTTTGATCTTTTCTTCTTGAAATTCACATAGTCTTCTAGCAAGGACATTTTCAGAGACAGAAATTCTGTAGCAGGCTGGAGAACAAGAGCAGTCTGATGCACTGAGGAAGAGGAGGGTGAGTGCTCATCTGGGCTGTGCAGCCTCTTTCTCTTGCCTGCTTCCACAGTTTGCTTTCTCTAGCATGGACATGGCGGTCACGGTGAAGATGTGCAACCTGCAGCTCAGGTTGCTTTTATCTTCTCATATTTCTTGTCAAGTGACAAGTGGCTTTCAGAGAGAGGATTCCCTGAGGGCTTTGTTCTTCCTCGAGACTTTTTGGTGTAAGTTTCATGAGTCAACGCTCATGGAAGCAGTGCACTTTCTAACCTCTTACAGTTCTTCAGTCTGTGCTGCTGATGTTAATAGAAATCTGCTGGCAGAAGTAGAGCTAAAGAAGGTGTCAGATGTCACACAGCAGTGGTGTGGGGAGAAGACAAGCTGCTCAGCTGACTGTTGTGACGCACATGACTTTGTGCTGGCTTTTCTCAAAGGAGGATTAGTCTGGGACGCATGATAGCATGACAACTTTCCAGTGGGGACTACAGATTGTACTTCAGCATGTAATCTAAGGTCTCTTTGAAAAGAGAGGCCTCCTGTACAGCGGAACCGAGCTAGACATCAAGGGCAGTCTTTGCTGTGATTTAACAATTTAAGAGGTGAAGATGTTTTGACTCTATCTATCTACAGTTTTCTCATGAAAGTTTTGTCATGTCACAGCTACTTTTAACCTGCTGATGAGTCCACAGTACATTCAATGATGACAAGCCACACGTTAGGCTGTCCTGGCAGAACAAAAATATTATTAAAACAACCTTCTTCCAAAAGCGATTGTCATACAGTATGAAAGTGGAGCACAAATTTGAAAATGGACACAATTTCCAAAATAGTTTTGGCAAATTGGATAGGCAGAGTGTCAGGAGGGGGCCACAAGTGGCAGAGGATAAATTGCAGTTGTCTACTGGACCTATTGTTGGCAAACAGTTTTCTATGTACTCAGTACCCACTTTTTGTATTTGATTGATGCGTTCAGTTCTGGCTTTGCCTCCTCACTTGAGTATTTTCCATGTATTATTCATATTCCTGCATTACAAACCGTGGTACAAGATGTTCCAGACTGGGTAGCTTGTCTCCATACAACAACTTGGCTTAGCACTGTAGTTTGATAAATTATATAGTATATATGCACAAAATCCAGAAGGATTGTTTGAACTACAAAAACCTGTTGTATAGCTACCATTTTTTCAATTTCTGGGTCTGTAGCAACGTAATCTGAGGCCTAAAAAGAGTATCAGGGCTTTTGATGAGTAAGGCATAGCAACAAAACACAAGACTCTGTTGATATCTTGCTA